TCTCTAGTTATATTGTGCTCGTTGGAAAAAAATAAGAAATGTGCGTATATTTGAGTGCTACTACGACTTACTAGTTAGCTGAATAGAAATTCTACTTCCAACCGGTTTAGTTCAAGCTCTCCTACATTTGGGCTAAAAATGGAATGTTTTCTATTTTCTCTATGTGTCAGCATGTGTAGCAAATATGTGTTAGTTTTACAAAAAATATTTTTCATGAGAGCAAACTTGTGCCTTGTTTTAAACTTAATTAAGGAGTTACATCCCACGATTTACGTAAGCTACATAAATCAATGTAAAATAAGAATTTGAAAATCTAAGTAAATTAAAAATAAAATTAATTATAAGTCCACAATTATCAGATGTCTCCACTTCTTAGCAAAGTGTTCGATTATTCATTCTACTTCTAAACAGTTAATCCAGATTTCTTTTAGAAATTTTTTTTAAAATTTAGCTTAAAAAAAAATCTTTATTTATATAGGCGCTTAAAAAATTTCCATAGAACTATATCTTGTGAAATATTGGTTTCATAGAAAATTATACGATTTATGACATATCGACAGTGTCAAGATTTACTATGAAAAGGTACTCCAACATAGAATTGAGTTAACGTGTCTTATATACTAGTGAATAGGAATTGTATCTTTGTAGTAATAGACACACTACAGTACTCCACTAACAGAATTTTATCTGTAATAAAATTCGAGTTGATTCATTGCTGTCTTGTGAGAAGCCGGGAGAGCTGTATTAACATCACCATACTTTTGAGTGCTGATCGTGAGAGCTGTATTAAATTCACAGTCGTGGTCGCTCCTGTGTTGCCATTAGCAGTCAAGTGTATACAGGTGGATAGTGTGTGTGATCGAGACTGAGTAGCAACAGCGCAAGGAGGTGAATAATGTAGCAATCACAAGTCAGCTGTTCAATGTCGACCATCCACTAAAGTGGGCGTTACTGTTGGGGCAAGTGCTGTATTCAGATCACGTCCGAAGAATCATCAGTAGTTTCTAAACCCCTTTGCTACCGCTATCAAACAGTGAACACTCAGGGGTCATCTAAATGCCTTTGGATTTGGTCATTGTGAATACACTGACCAATCAATTTCTCAATTCTTTCAAATTGTATTGTGCAGGCATAAATGCATACACCTGCGTTATCCCACAGACTGAACTAGATGCAATGAGTAGTCTCTTTATTCTAGAATCATGTAAAGAGGGGAATCTTTCAGATTAAATTGCAATTTATTCATATCAAATATTACTGGTCATTCTTTTACCTAGGAATTTCACTCAACTCTACAGAGCTTGTGACCCCTTTTGGGAAATATAAGATTTTTTAAAAAACTTATTTCTTTTTAAGGAATGAAATTTTATTAATCAAAAATGGCTGAACATTTAAATTGGTGTTTACTATATAAATATCTCCAAAGTATAGAAAAAAGTTTGATCTTCACTAGATTGTTGGATTTAAAAATCATTTTTGTTTCAATAATATTTCTTTAAAAACACTTTATTTACTTTTTTTTTTCAGATGAAAATTATTTTTAAAAAAATACACAATACTATATAATAGCTTCATTGAATTTTATTACAAAGTTTGGTTTTGATGACATCAGAAACGCAGCAACAAAATAGTTTTATAAAAATATGTTATGATTAAATCATATTTACAATAGCAAAATGTAAATGAAAAGCTTGTCAACTACTGAAATAGGCAATGACGCTTCTTGTATAGCGTGGCAGGAAAATGTAAGTGGTGTAACAAGACATGGCTATAAGAAGTAGCAAAATACTATCTAATAATTAGTTAAGGTTTACTTTTTTGTTGGTTCAGATAACTTACTCTAAATCAACAAACTGAATATTAATGAACATGCAATTAAATAAAATTAAGTGCTTAAAAATTGTCAATATTATAGTTTTTTTTTTTAAATCACTAATAAGTAAACTTTTTTCTAAAACTTAGATTTGATTTTTGAAAATATTGCACTTTATATTTTTTGAATTTATATAAATATAATAAAACAGTAAACATTTAAAACACAGGCATGTATACAAGTAATGTTATATTTAAATGAAATGATAAAATTTTACATAGTTTTGCAATATTTCTCTCTTTATAAGTTATTTACAGCTAAAATAAATGCTGAAGTACAGTGCAGAACCTCTTATCCGGAAATCAGAAAACCGGAAAACCATATAACCGGAATGAAATTCGAAACCGGAAATTAATTTTCTTCCATTAAAAAAATTTTTTTTTCCTGCAAGACTTTGAGCCCATTCTGTTATTTAGAGCGTACAGCGTATCGAGTTGACGAAAGAACTGATTTAGAGGACGGATCAAAAGCCGTTTGTAGACGAATCTCACATAAGCACAAATAGCTTACATATGTTATTAATGCTAATAATAACATTAATAACATATATAAGCCTGTATATAATTTTTATTTCATAATTTCTTTCCTTATTTAAACTTAAGTGTATTATTATTTATCATTTTTTATTATTTCTAAAACTGTTTCAAAATAATTTTTTAGTTTCGTTTTATAAACATTAAAAAAACGGCATTTTGTAGCGATTCAGAAAACCGGAAAAATCAGTTATCCGGAATAGCGATGGTCCCGATCGTTCCGGATAATCGGTTCTCTACTGTACTTGAGTTTGCCTTTAGAAATATAATTATATTTTACAAAATAAAATTAAAACTGAATGACTAAAAAGTAATTAATATACTATAGAATTCATAAACATAATTTTGCTAGAAATAAGCAAGATCTAAGAGTGATAATTACTAAATATTTATTATAAACAGAAATGCAAAAAGCTTCAGAAAATTTTTACCTCCCTCAAAACATCATACAAAACTTAAAACACATCACAAAATCAAGCAAATCAGAAATATAATTTATAATCACCTCTAAAATAAAATTTATAATCACCTCTAAGCAAACAATATTATACATATTTTTTCTTAATTTATTGTAAGTACAAGAGCTAAGCAGAGACACCTGGAAATTTCAGCTGATGTGAACAGGATTCAACATGAAAACATCCCCGAAAGCTTCAATTTATTAAGACTTATTTAAATATTTAACATTAATGACAACATCTGTTTAAGTGAATCGAGTTTGAATCCCAGCAATGGCTGGTTGATACGAATTCCTCACCGAACACAGTGGCGACATAAAATATCCTCAGTGATAGAAGGATCATGGGTTAGATTCCCCTTGCCATCAGGCTAACTGTAGGTTTTAGTGGTTTTCCATTCCATGAAAGGCTAATGCGGGTTAGTTTCATCAAAAAGTCCTACACAAATGCAAAATTTCTCCCATTACTGATTCAGGAACTCCCTTGTCTTCTGGATTGGGTTCAAAATTACAAGACTACGTAGTTGTTGAACATTTGTTGTCGTGAACCCGAAAATTGGGTTGGCTGTTCAGCAACGGTTATAAAATTTTTGTAGATAGATATTATCAGAATGTTTAAAGTGAAGGAAAAGAACTTTGAATAATCTTATAATTTTCAACTCAAAAAATATGCTGCTGTTCTGGATCAATTTATTACAATGTAAATAATTTTAAATTTAACATAAATAGGAATTAACTAGGTACATAATTCCTTTGTAACTTATTTAAAAATTCCTGCTCAATCTCATTTAAAGAGAAAACAATTTTAAATGAAACTATCTCTTTTCTTCATTTTACAAAGGAATGTACACTGGTTTACTTTGCAGGGAATCTCAATCCAAAAATGACTTGTTATCACAACATATAAGGCTGAATAGAAATTTTTTAAATATCAAGAACATACTTAATGTTAACTAAATCAATCATAATGGTAAAGTAAAAACTTATAAATAAACCAGTTTTTCAATTGTAAATATAAGGGGGGGGGGTAGCATTTCAGAAAATATTTGTAGTATTCCAATTGCCAAACAATTCATGGGAATATTTCCATATTGCCTAAGTCCATGCCTCAGCCAGAAAGAAATTAAAAAGTATTTATGTATCATAAAAGAAAAAACTCGTAAAGAATTACTCACGGCCACCCTTGGGTAAATCTAAACATATATTTTTTAAATAAATTTAGAGTTAAAAACCCAGTTGATGCAACAGATCACGCTACAGAAATATCAAACCAGTTCATTAAGTAGAAGTCCATGCAAGTATTTACAAGGAAATTTTTTTCTACAAATAGGATAGATATATTCATAGTAAGATAAATATTTTTGATGTCTCATGTACAAATCATATACATAATTACAATATAATTAAATCAAATCTGAATTAAAACTATAAAAAGATTAGAATAGCTAAAAATAACTCAGATTTATTACTTAATAGTAAAATTTAATATTTAAGCACAATATTATGCAACGAAATAACCAGGTTTTGCTGCTTTTGAAGCATTTTTTATGTTCATTATAAAAAGGGTGTGCCCTTTTAGCGAATTTCTAGTTTCGGATATTCCATATTTAGTACTTTTATTTCGGTAAACAAATTATTAAACTGATTTTCGTTTAATTACTAATGACAGTAGCAATCACAATTGATGTACTTATGCTACTAAATTTTATGAAGCTTTATTTTATCTAGAGAATTGATTTGAATACCTAATTATTCTTATAAAATTAAAAGGATACTGAAAAGTCGTTTTTCCCAAGGTTCTAGCATGGAAATTGCAGTTCTTAATTCATAAACTAGATAAAGTTGCTTCACTTTATCAACGAATCGACTTACCACAGCCATGATAATAATTTAAAAGGCCTTTTCTCAGTAAGCTAACTGTTCAGCGTACTTGAATTTTGTTGATAAACACCTACCACGTTTGCCTTGACTTATGCTTGTTACACGAATACATCTGTTTGCTCATGCTATCCTGTATTTTAAGCTAAAAAAGCAAGAATGCATATAACTAATAGAAAAATGACTTATAACAAATTAATGTATTTTTTTTTATTTTAATCAAAATTTAGATATCAAAATGATAGGTTATAAAATATTTACCGTTTAACTGTAAATCACTTATCCGTCACCCGCCCCGCCATTTTTGTTTTGATTTTTCGTAACGATCGGTGTTGGAGTTATTGTTTATAATGTCAAAATCATTAACTACCATAGAAGATTATCTAATCTAATGTAGAATTTCACATACATGAAGTGTGTGTATTATATAAATTTTGTTCTGATCAATTAAAATGCAAATTTATGATAAATAAAATTTTAAAGTGTTTAACTATTGTTTCTTATTACCGATTGTTGGAATTCTAGGAATTGCGAATTCTTATTTAAATTTATATAATATTTAGCTACTTAATTTTTATACATTCATCTAGCTAATTTTCAATTACTATATATATAATTACGTGAACAGAACATATGAAGGTTTATTTTTACTAAATGAACCTTCATATGTTCTGTTCACGAAAATATAAATAATATTGTCGAAAGAACTTAGTTAAGGGTCAGAATCAGAAAGTAAAATCACCAAGTTCTTAAAAATTTGACTGATAGAAAATTAATTATTCATGTATACCAATTATTTTTAATTATTAATATATACCATTAAATTTTTTCTTGTTAAAAGAAATGATAAAAATATTGTTATACATAGTCTTTATTAGAAGTATCATTTTAAAAATATTTTGGGCATGCAATATTTATCAAAACCTTTTTGGTATTTTTCATTTAGCCAGGAGCAAGAAAATTCAAGTATTTTTTTTTTAAAAATTTCTTTATTTTTATTATGATTAATTTTTTAAGTGATCGTCCATCTTGTTCAGTGTTTTCGAAAATTAATGAAAAGAAATAAAAAAAAAGCTGGCAAAAGTCTAACTTTTTATGGCAACATGTCACCTTTTTTAAGGCATACTTCTGTATGGTGATCTGTTGAACCAACTATGATTGAAAAGTTGCCACAAATAGATTTTTAAATTTCAAAGAATTTTTAAAAATTTTATTGGCTTCCCTGGGTTATACCCTTTACGCAGTTATATCCTTTCAGTTATAACTCTTCTGTTATTTATTTTTTTTTACTTTTTTGTTGGCCACTGCCGAAAAACTGCTATAACTAGGTTTAGGTCATGAGTAAATCTTCCCATTTTTAATGGTTAAAAATTAAAGAAAAATATAAGTAATCTTGACCCCATTTTGTCATATATTATTCTTAGGTTTTTTCTTCTGCCTCACTGTCTGAAAATTACCAAAGCGCACAAAATATTTTTATTTTTCAATCATTACTTCCTATAAAAAATGGTACTATATTTAGTTAAATTCTAACTTTATTTTCTAATTTTAATTTATCTATATTTTTCTAAAAATTTCTAAATGAATTTTATGTTTTCTAAATTGTTTATATCAATGAATGCTCACGAGTAGATAATTAAAAAAAAAAATTCTTGTATAAGTTTTATCCTATCTAATGTCTGTATTATTTTTATACATACTAGGAATCACATTTTATGTATGATAACTTTCTGATCTTTTTCATAAAAATATTTAATTGTATTTGTAGGAGATATAATTGAGGAATAAACATGCATCAACCAACTGCTGAGCAACTAGGTTTTATTGAAGATGCAGATGGTGCTATATGTGAGTAATTTTATTTATTTATTTGTTTTTTTTAAATTTTTCATATATGGATAATTTCATGATTCAAAGGACAACATAACAAAAATATATTATAGTATCCCTGCGGCAGAATTTTTTCGAGCTATCTGCGACAAAACTCTCTAGCATTAATATCCTTCTGCAAGATACTTTTAATAATAACAAACATATGTGTTACGAATTTAAAATAACAAATATGTTGTGTTTACGAAGAAAAAAACAACTATATGATTTTTTTTTAATTGAACATGTAATAATTTTTTATTCTAATATTATGGGTGATATTCTAGAATTTTTTTGGGAAGAACGCGCAAATTATTTCCTTCTTCGGATTTTGTAAATAGTTATCAGTAAAAAACATAATTAAAAATCGCGAAATCCATAGTAGTAATTGCCGAAAGAAAGATCGACGACGAAATCACCCAAATCGAACTTTTTAAATGCGTGTTTCGTTTCGAGATTTAGTTGTTGTAATAAGTAATAAAAAATATCGGATGTGAAACCTACGGAGAAATCAATAGCAATAAGTGCCGAAAATTCGATAGAACAATGCCTTCAAAAGTAAATACTCAAATGCATGATTCAAATTTTCTATATTGTTTGAAATATATCAAGGAATTAAAAAACCATGTGAAAATCAATGTAATCAATCTGGTGAAAATACAATCGAATCATCCGTCACTTTACGATACTATCACATAAATTGAGAGCGTCAAAAAGTGATTATCTAAATTCATGATTCAAATATTACAAGAAATTTACATTTATTAGGTAATTTTACGAAGATTACGTTGTAAATTTCTGTTGTAAATAAAAAGAAAATTTTTTACTTTTCAAAAGAAAAATCTTTCTGCGTGAAANTTTTAATATCAAACTTTTTATGGATTTGCACGAAAAAGAAATTTTATCTATTGATTTTAATTTTTAGTTTATTATTTTCATTTATTTAAATTACCATTGATTTAAAATTGTTTTACTCTTTAGAAATGCGTTTTAAAAACACAAACATAAACAAAGCAAGCACGGGGTTACAGATAGCTTTGTGATCTTTGAGCTAGTAAAAATTAATTGAATGTGCAGTATAAGTTGAAACAGAAGGTATTTAAACACGAAGTTAGCTGTAAATGCATATATATTGCACATTAATTTTATAAATTAAAAAAAACAAAAGCATTTTTTTTAAAATTTAATTTTGTATTATTTTTTTTAATTTTTTTTTTTTTTTTTTTTTTAGAAAGCTTATAGAGTTTTAGAAAAAAAGTAACGATTTCATTCGCTATTTCCGTTACAAATACTTGTACTTTTTCCCTAAAAAAGTAACGAAAGTACAAGTAAAAGTACGTACTTTTTACTTGTACCGGCGGTACAAGTAACGAAAGTAAAAGTACTGCCATATATGTATATTAGTATACGAGAGTAACCCATTTTACATGTCAGAGTTGTTACTACATTTTGAATGTACTTTAACAAACTTTCTTCAGAAATGCTATTTTTTGCATAAAATTTTTATCAATAAAATGGGAAAATATATGAAATATCCCTTTTGAATAATCATCAGGGAAATCTTTAAAATATTTTATTTCATTTTATATTAATGAGTATCTTTTTTTATTTGATTTTTTTTTTTTTAATTTAAATAAAATTTGTTCAACTACACATGAAAACAACATTGGCATAAATCAGTTTGTACAACTTTGAATTTAAACAAAAATATTTAAAATTGTATAGATTTATTATAATAAGTTGAATTAGTTTGTCAAAAGTTTTGATTAACAGAAGTTAAAAAAAACATATTATTTTAATAAAGTTTGCCTTAACCTTAAAAAAGCTTTAAAACCCAGTATTTTTATTTATTTATTTTTATGTTACCTTCATATGCTATATGTAAAAACAGAAAGGTTGTCAAATCCCTGAGTCATTCCAACTTAATAATGGAATAATTGAACTAATATTAGTAATTGATTTTAATTGAATTCTGTTGCATTAGTTGAACATATATGTTTATGCTATGAAATTATTTAATAAATAGAAATTTCTTTTGGGTTTATTTTCAAACACCAGAGATCGTTTTCATAATTAGGGTAATATCTTTACAGCAATTGATGAAATCACAATATCATCTGCTCCAGCCCCAGCTTTGTCAACTGATGTTCCTAATTCACGACTGATAATTGACTCTCTTCTGGTTCGAAATTTTAAATCATATGCTGGAGAACAAGTGATTGGTCCTTTTAACAAGGTATAATATTCAGATATTGTTTATTGTTATTCTAAATAAAATATTTTTTGAATTTTAATTATTTTAACAATTACTTATCATAGATTTGTTGATAATATTTTGAAATTATGATAAAAGGAGCTTTATAAGTTTTGAAAGGGCACTCATTCAACTGCGTAAAAATTTAACAAAATGTGTAATATTAATATTATATTTGTAAATTACCATCTTATATTATTTTATGTGTATGTTCCAAATTCTCTCTGATTATAAGAATAAGTGAAAAATTTCTAGTTTATAAAAGTAATTTACATGATAATAATATATAATTTCTAGGCATAAATTTTTTCAAAAAAAGTAAGCTAAAATAAATTATTAATTGATAGACAATGTGAAAGATTTTTATATAATTTAAACTGAAAATTACAAAAAAATGATCCTTGCCTTTTCTTTTTTTTAAGTCATTTATTTAAAAAATAATTTTAAAAATTAAAACTATAAAAAAAATTTCCCATATCCCTCCATAACAGTACATTGTAAACTATTCCAAAATCAATAGTTTAATTTTTATTTTGATAATTTTTTTCTCTTATTTGAAATTATAGAATTTCACTGCTGTTGTTGGCCCGAATGGAAGTGGAAAATCAAATGTCATTGATTCATTATTATTTGTATTTGGTTATCGAGCTAAGAAAATTCGATCAAAGAAAGTGAGTCACCTGATTCACAAAAGTGACCAGTATCCAGATCTTCCAAGTTGCACTGTTACTGTACACTTTGCTTATGTGAAAGATGAGGTAAGAATTAGTGTTTCTGGAAGACATAACAAGTTTAATATTTTTCTATCACGAAAAACATGTTCAGTTTCTAATAAATTTCAATTTTTGAAATTGTAAATGATAATTTAATAAAAATTTATTAAAATTGCCACTTTAAACAACACTAAAAATTTCTTTAAAACATCTAATATTAAATTACATCACTGGATTGAAATTGTTATATGTTTATTATTATCAGCATATGAAGTTAAATTATATGAAAATAAAACAGCTGTATTTTAACTTCTGTTGATATTAATGAGTTTTTATATGATGGTCGCACTTTAATAAGTTGTGAATAACTATTAAGTGGATAGTGTTTTTAAAAAGTTCATAATTTTCCTTTCTAAAAAGAATTTTTTTTTTTTCTTCACTCCTTTGTCCAATTTTCACATTGTTCTATTCAATTTTTCACAATTCATTCAACTACAACCCATTTTGGTATATCATAGTGCATAAAAGCACCAATCAGTTTACATATTTGATGAAATCATTCGGTATGTTGCGAGTCCGCAAGTAAGCCGGATTCAAAGGTTCTTGCTCTCACATATGCAACTCTGCTGCGTTTTGTAGGAGATTCATGATTACGGGTTTCATTTTCTGCCCTCTAAAAACGAATTCATAAATCTCTCAAATTTTTACTGATCATGAGGATGTTAGATTTTCTTTTTGAATCATAACTAGTCAATGATGTTCCTTTGGTATATTTTGGTTCATAAAACGGAAATATTTAAAATATTAAAAAATAAATTTAATCTTCAAAATTTAAATTTCAAATATATTTATTTCTTGGAAATTTTAAAATCATTAATTCATTCCTAAATATTTTTCTAACTATTTTTCTTATATTTTTAAATACTTTTTCCTACATAATTGAGATTGTTGTTTGAGTATTTGTTCATGAATGATTTGGATCTAATTACTGCAACTATCTGTATTTTTTATTTGAACTTTTTAGACTTAACATGGTTGTCTTACCTAACAGATGGAGATCATTAAAAATTGATGATACTTTAATCTTGCTTACTCAATTTTCTTGTTAAGTTGTTTAAAAGTGGATAATTGCGTTTGTTATTATTTATAAAATGTTGGTATTAGTAAAATTTTTTCCATTAATTTATCAAGCTCTGTTTTAGCCCTCAAAAAATCAGCCATCTGATTGATAACTATTAAGTAGGGGTACTAAGTAGAGAAACTAAACTCTCATAGCAATGTTTGCTAAGGCTTTATTTCATATGCACCTATTTTGCAGCTTATTCTTTTTGAGATTATTTCCAATTGAATGTGTGCAATTGTTTGTTTTTGTTTTTTTTTAATCCAAGATTTCATATTGATGTATATGAAGTGGTAGGTCATCCAGTCTCTACAGGTGATTAGCATTAAAATAAGCAATGGCACTAGCGCTAATAATTTGTATGCTTGAATTGCTCTTTACAGGGTTGCCACAGGTGACTAAAATGCCACTATTTGCAACTATTTTCGACCTGAGACGACTATGGCAACTTTTTTTGCCTGAAAAGCCTAAGAAAGCAACTATTTTCAGGAAAAGGAGACTTTTCTGTGCTCCTAGGTTGTTGTTTTTTTTTTAGCATAAATTGGGTTGACAACCTTAGGCCCACGGTAGCTTCTGAACACAATGAATTTTTTTTTTCTTAAAAAATGTTGAATTGCGAATTTGAGTCATCGTTTTTTAATTTGCTCAATTTGCACAGATTCCATTGTAAATCTATTTTGTTCCTCAACCGCCTTTTCAACAGTTATTGCTGCCAAATTCTGCATGATTTTAAAAAACCCAATTTTTAATATGATATTACGATATGAGAATTTCGAATTTGAATAATCACTTTTCACAATTGTATATATGTATTTGCTAGATCGATTATTGTTTAAACTGAAAATTTTTTAGAAAAAGTATGCTTTTCAATGATTTCTAATAATTTAAAGTATTTAATATTCTGCAAATATACTAATTTTTTGATATAAAAATTTAGTTCTGGAACACTAATGTTTATATAAAAATTATCATATTTGCTACCAACTTGACTAAATGGATCATGGTATATGATAATTAAGTCAATTAATAAAATTTTAGTCTCATTTTTGTTCTTATTTAGGCAACTATTTTCATGCTTTAGACCACTAAAAGCAACTATATTGTTCATTTTTTTCTGTGGCAACCCTGTCTTTATAGCAAAAACAGTCTAGAATTTTGTTAAGATTCTTAATAAAATAGCAGGGAAGTAAAAAAAAAAATTTATTATAAAATTTATTGTAAACATGGTTTTAAAATTTTTTAACTATAAAAAAACCAAGCCAGCATGTCTGCGACAAAGAGACACTGTGCCAATTTTCATGAGTGGTGAGTAGAAATAGTCCATTTACATTCATTTATACAGTAGGGAACCGATTATCCGGATCGACCGGGACCATCGCTATTCCGGATAACTGATTTTTCCGGTTTTCTGAATCAATACAAAAAGCTGTTTTTTTATTGTTAAACCCAACTAAAAAAAAAAAATAATAAATAGTTGGAAATAATCTTAAAAAGAAGAAAAAACGATGAAGTAATACACTAATGATTATTTCCAAAATGATAGTAAGGTTAACATCTTTCAAAAAAAAAAGAAAAATTCTAAAATCTTATGTGGAAAAAAATGTTTTTTTTAAAAATATGGTGGGAAAATTTATCGAATTTCGTTCCGGTTTTTTGGTTTTCCGGTTTTTTTATTTCCGGATAACGGGTTCTATACTGTATATATAAAAAAATTTCATTAATGTAATTACATTACATTTTTGTTGCAGTGTTGCCAGAAATTAAGATTAAAAAGTAGCGAATGGGAGCTCCAAAAGTAGCGGATTCGAACATTTTGTAGCCCAAAAATAAATCATATATATATATATATATAAATTTATTTACTGCGCTAATTTATTTGGCTATATTTCTGTAAAACAGCGCCGTTTGCCAGAAAACACTAAAATTATAATAACATTGGCTAGCTCGTTTTTTTTTTCCAGCTTTTTTATGTGTAAAAATCAGTCGGAACTGTCTTCGATATTTTAATGTTGGTGCGGTCTTTGAGCTGCATAAGAATATTAAGAGATTTCGACCTCAGCTCGCTTCGTTCCCCGACCTCAAGAACCTTAATTACTCGCACATAAAAATGTTCTCACTAGCTAATTTTTTTTTTAATAAAAATTATCTCGCGTTTCTTGGAAATTAAAAATAAGACCTAACTAGGATCCAATCTCCAACAAGAAATTCAGAAAAGTTCAACTTCATGGGCCTACATCTGTGTGTATTTAAAAATAAAAGGCAAAAAATCTTTTTTTGATTAGCAAAATAATTTATTTAATCATTTCTGCTNTTAATAAAATTTTAGTCGCATTTTTGTTCTTATTTAGGCAACTATTTTCATGCTTTAGACTACTAAAAGCAACTATATTGTTCATTTTTTTCTGTCGCAACCCTGTCTTTATAGCAAAAACAGTCTAGAATTTTGTTGAGATTCTTAATAAAATAGCAGGGAAGTAAAAATAAAAAAATTATTAGAAAATTTATTGTAAACATGGTTTTAAAATTTTTTAACTATAAAAAAAAAAAACCAAGCCAGCATGTCTGCGACAAAGAGACACTGTGCCAATTTTCATGAGTGGTGAGTAGAAATAGTCCATTTACATTCATTTATATATATATAAAAAAAAATTTCATTAATGTAATTACATTACATTTTTGTTGTCAACTTTTTTTTCTTTCGTTTGTTATACCTTTTTTTTTTTAGAATTATATATATAATTTCAGGGAGAACGAGGTGTTATTATCAAAGATTCAAGGTTTTCACTGTCAAGAACAGCATTCAAAGATGACTCTTCTTATTATGAAATGAGCAATAAGCGTGTTCCTTACAAAGATGTTTCTAAAGCATTAAAAGCATATGGTATTGATCTGGAGCACAGCCGATTTTTGATTTTACAGGTTAGAATGAGTATCAGTGATGATATTTTGTAAATACATTGTAATAGTTTATTCTTGACTATGTCATTTTATTTTATTTTTTTCTGATAGGGCGAAATTGAAGCTATATCTTTAATGAATCCTAAAGCTCAAAATGAACATGAGACTGGTATGCTTGAATACATTGAAGACATAATTGGTTCAAATCGTTTTATTGAACCTATCAAGCATTTTAAAGAGAAAGTTGAAAAGTTAAATGAAGAAAGAAAATTATTGGTAAGCATGAAATTTTCTTATTTATTCGAAATATGTGAAATAGCTATTATATTGTATCAGTAAAGTAAATTTATAAAATGTTTAAGACAAACAACTAATTTTTTAAAGTTTCAACCAATTTCAACTGCAAAAAATTTTAAGAATCAATTAATTCACTTGGATAAATTTTCTTATCTAAAATTTCAAAATCATCAAAATTAATAACCAAAAGATCATCCATAAATCTGAGAAAGAAGTTTGTAGGAAGATTATCAAATAATTTAACAAATCTAGATTCTTGAGGGGAAAAAAGAAAAATATTGAAAACATTAGTACTAAAATTATTTCCCATGCCGATACCATTAATATTTTGAAAAAGACAGTCGTTAAAAAAAATATAATTGTTGTTGAGATTAATATGAACAGGAAATTTCCGAATCTCTTCATCAAAATATCATTAACATTAAATAGGCTTTTGAAGAAATCAAATAGGCTATTGAAGGCTATCAGGAATTTTTGTTGGACGAGAAGTATAGTACTTTTTGAAATCAAAACAATATAGCGAATCAAAATTTAAATTAATATTAGTGTTTTTAAAACCTGTATACTATTTTTAATATTCTAATTTAGGTGATTATTATTTTTAATAGGCTTGTTAATTTTATTGTATACTTTTTAAGAATATTTTCTAAGCAAATACCGTTTTTTTTAATTTTTTATGTTGCTATTTATGCCACTAGCAATAAACCTGAATTTAGTTGTAGTTTTGTGGAATTTTGGATTAGCAAAAAGAAAATTATTATTATTATTTGGTTTAATTTTAAGTTTTTTATGTATATATATATATATATGCACGCACACATTTGTTTTAAAGTTGAATGGTTATTTAAGCCACAATTATTATTTTAGGTAGGAAGGTAAGAAAATCTCAAACCTCGGCTAAAATTTCAAGACATCAACGCATGACATACAGCAAAAATTTAAATATAATAAAGGATTAATTAAATTAATTTAATATATTAATCCCTTTTTTCTCAAGACTAGTTAAAAAAAATTATTAATTATGTATTGCAAAAAAGAAAAATCAATTTTGTCAATTGAAACATTTTGCAAGACTAGTTCAACCATTTTCCTCTATAAACTTTCTGATTATGTTATTTATTTTTAATTTTCATTAGTAGAGAATAAATTAATTTAGCTTTTATCTTAACCAAGTAATTAAAAATAATAAAAAAATTATTGTTATTCAAGCAATTGAATTTGCCTCATCATTTGAATTGTGAAAATTAGCAAGTAGTTTTGATTTCGAAATCCAGTTGTTGTATGTCAGAAGAAATTTTAACATCCGAAATGTTATATCTACAAACTCTGCTCAATCCGACCTAAAACTCTTGACGTATTATATCCTCAGTGGTAGACATATCATGAGGTAAAATCTCCTTGCCGCCTGTCTAACAGTGTGAAATTTTCGTGGATTTTCTCTTCATGTAACACAAACAGGGCCGGATTAACCTATAGGCACACTAGGCACGTGCCTAGGGCCTACGAAAAACTTAGGAGAAAAAAATTTGTTGACAAAAATAATTTAGCTTTAAAAACAACAAGTATTTTGCACAAAAAATTATGAAGATACAAATAAAAATATAATATTTTTCGGTAATAAATTATTTTGCAGAATCTTATGATCTAATATATTACTTTTTTGCGATTTTTGGATTCAACGAAATCTTGTATTATGCTGTCGAATTCCAAACTACGCAAAATGTCGTATTCAATAGACATAAGTGCGAGCGATGCCAAACGATCTTGATTCATTGTTGAACGCAAATAATTTTTTATCAATTTTAATCTGGAGAAAGATCTTTCTCCTTCTGCATTTGATCCAAGAATCGACAAATATATTCTTAATGCAATGTGAACGTTAGGAAAAGTATTCACAAGTTTATCTTTAATTTGAGCCTTCAACATTTCTTGTGCAGATTTATGTTCATACAAATTTGAAAATAGTAAAAATTCATCTACAAAGTTTTCCTCTAAATCGGATGAGTAAATTTTCACCAAATTTTGCGCTTTTAGTTTAATCTCAGATTCTGACAAATTTTTGTGTAATTTCCTTGTAATTCGGGTTCGATAAAACATCGATTAATGACACTTTTTGGTCGATCCAGAAAACTGGGAAATTCAGACATCCGGGATAGCGATGGTCCCGAGCATCCCAGATAATTGGTTCTCTACTGTATAAATATTTCTTGTAATTAATCTCACTATCAATTTCACTGTTTTCTTTGCTGGTTTGTTGTTGTATTGTTGACGTGAAGTGTTTACATAGTTATCGATCGAACTAATCATAATGGTATTATCGATATCAACTGCAATATCGGCAGTATGTCGGTATTGCAGATAAAGTTCGATAAACAAATTTGTAAATTAAAATCCATCTTAATAAAAATGTAAAAAAAAATATGCAAGAAAAATTTAGCATATATTTTGAAAAGAGGGGAAGAAGGGGAGGGCCCAAAAACGGCTATGCCTAGAGCCCACGAAAGGTATAATCCGACTCTGTGGCTAGGGCCTACGAAAGGTATAATCCGGCTCTGAACACAAATGATGGTTAGTTTCATCAAATAATTAGTTTGTCCCAATATTTGATCCAGAAGCTTTCTTGTCTTCTGGGTTGAGTTCGAAATTACAAGGCTATGGAGTTGATTATTGAAAGTCATAATTTCAGAATCAGAAATATTTAAACTAATGGGTAATGTAATAATTGTGCACACGGAAATTTTATCCCCCCCCCCCCNTTTTTTCCCCCCCCCCCCCCGATTTATCCTAAAGTTTGATTGTTAAATTAGATCAACTTAAAAATGAAAGCTCTCTTCGAAATAGTACATAATAGTAATTAGAACTTGTTAAGACTGATGCATCTAACATGAATATTTATGTGCAAATAAATAATGGTGTTTAAGAAGTTTCTCTTTAGTAATTTTTCAAAAAATTTTAAAATTAGAATTTTACATATGTAATATTAAAATGTTTAAAGTTAAAGATATTTGGAACTCTAATTCCCCAGTTCTTGCAATCTTCACATTAACTAAGAATACTGTAAGTTCTAAAATTATGTTTTTAATTTTTTTTTCTTTTCTTTTGCCTATGTTAGTTGATATTTAATAGTTGATAGTAAATTTTAGTAATTCTTTAACACTTAAGTAAAGGTGTATAGAAAAATTTCCTTGACTAGCTTTGTTTCCCTTTTGATTAAAATAAAGAGGAACTGACTTGTGTAGGAAAACTGCCAAATTCTATCTAAGACCATGGTTGGGATTACAGCTAATGAGTTAGGAACTTTTAAAAATGTCAATTTTCCAATTTTTACACTTTACTCAAATTTATTTAATTATTTCAACTGTTCTAATTAAAATAATTTTAAATATCTGAAAGGTGTGTTGAAATGTTGAAAAAAACATTGCAATAACTTTACCAACATAAATCCTTAACTACGTTTTTAGAAAGATTTGAGCAAATCCTGTGTAAATTAAAGTTCCATATTGTAATTTGTAGATTTATATTTCTTCTTAGGTTTCCCAACTGAAAATGGTGGAGAAAGAGAAAGATGAACTTGAGGGTCCAAAAAACAAAGCTATTGAATTCTTACGACTAGAAAACAAACTATGCTTAACAGAGAATTCTCTTTATCATTTAAAACGGTAACCCATTAAATTTTTAGCATTTCTGCAAGTTTATAATTAAAAGTGTTCCTCTTCTTTCAAAAAAATTAAACACTTATTTCATATAAATACATTTATGTATCCATTTTGCTTTATAGGAAAAGGAATTTTGTTTTGTACAATGTTGTGATGAAAATTTTTTAAAACTTGTTAGTCAGAAGTTTTATTGTATTTATTTGTCTAATCATTTTATAAATATTGACCAGTATAAGCCCATACAGAATTTGATTCTTAAAAATAGATGTTCTAGAGCCTTTAAAAATCATTGAGTTTTAATTAATACTTCAAAAAAAAAAAGAGGGAGAGATACAGAGGTCTTCAATAACATCTAACATTTTAATAAAAATTTAAATTTATAATTTTACAACACTTTAAAGTAGTTATCAGTTAGAAAGGTTTCTTAACTACAAATCTAAATATGAGTATATATATTTAAAGGAAACATTAAAATGTGTTTTATTAAGAGGAAAATCAGAGCTCAGGAGATTTTCAATCATGGTTGATTAGGTTAGTAAATATTTCTGTATTCATTTACCTCATTTGCTTACCAATTTTATTATGAAGTAGTAATACATATGTCCTTTTATCAGTCTATAAGTAAATTAAAGCTTGGAGATTTTAATTAACAATTTTTTTTAACCAGACTTGAGTGTTTATTATTAATTAAGAAACTTATATTTTAGACTGAGTCTTTGAATAGGATTAAGAAACAAAAATCAATTATGATTTATTTTCCTGATTGGTGTGTCAATTTTTACTGAAAACATATGCATAAAAAGACCAAAAAGATGTGTCAATTTTTACTGAAAACATATGCATAAAAGAAAACATATGCATAAAAAGACCATAAATAAAGCGATAACTTGATAAATAAATGCAATTTAACAATCCATAACAGATATTTTTCTTTATTTTATTTGATCGATACAGTATAATTTCAAATTGTTTCTAGTTATTTGGAACATCAACTGAACATATCACTTTAATATGTATATAAATGCTCCCTAGCATTAACTAAACATGTCCTGAAAAAAGGAAATGGCCAGAGTACACTGCTGCCAAAATTCCTGAGTTCTTGGTGCTTGAGAGCCCTTAATTTCTTAAATTAAATTGAATAAATTATTATTACTTAAAATAGAAATGTGTGTGTAATGATAATTGAAAATTTTAGCACTGTTTTTTTGCAGGTGCGACATGTACGAGGGTGTGACATTTCTTCCGAAAATTAATGTAATGCATTTCTAAATACATGTTAATACAAAATTAAGTAGATTAATTGATTTTTTTATACATAGATATCAAGCACAAAGTGCTTTTGAAGAAGTTACTGAAAAGAAAAATAAATTTCTGGAAGAGATGAAAGCACTCAAGTTTGAATTAGAAAATGTGCGGGCATCAAAAAAGACTGTAGAAAATTCAATGAATAAAATTAATAGGTAATTTGTGCTATCTGTTTTATTAATTCATTGTTAAAGAATTTTTATTGCCAAAAATACTTTATGTTTTATAAATTAAGTACAAACATTTCATCCATTTATTGCTAATTAAAAGCTTTGTGCATATAACAACCAAAATAATTGTTAAAAACTTATTGCTATATTTTTTGGCATAGAGTGTTCAAAAACATTATTTTCCATTTGTAATTTATTGTTGGTCCCTGAAACCTCTACTAGCTTTCAACTTCATTGATGTCTATTAGAAATCACATAACTTAAACTCTTCTAAAGTTATAAAATGATTCTCGCAGTATTTCTTGAGAAATATGAAAAAATGAGTAAGTTAGAAGTTTTTCCCTATTTTTGTCCAACCTTTGTATTTAAGTTTAATCTTGTGTTCTAATTAAGATCAAGGAACATACTTTTTTCTTTATTTTATAGAGATTTAGTATTTTTCTTTCAAATGATGAAATAACCCTGATAAGTTTCAAGATTTTTGTGTCCTGAAACCCCTAAGAAACTTAAGTGTTATAATTTTTTTTTAAAATTTATTGATCTTAGGTTTCTTTTAATTTAAGAAGGTGCTGTTTTTTAAATTTATCATTTATTGATATGTTGTGGCGAAATATTAAGTGTCAAATAATGTTTTATATCATGTTTTTGACAGTGAGTATGAGTCATTTCAAAAGAAATACGAAGAGACTAAAGAAGAATATGCTAATCTTGAACGCCAAGATGCTGCAAATTTAATGTTAATCAAGCATTCTAAAGAAAAAACACAAAAACTTGAGAAAAGCTTAGAAGATGCAAAAAATGAGGTAAATGATATAAATTTTTCAAGCTCTGTTTCTGACCTCAAAATAACTCTTTTGTAAGATTTTTGATTTGAAAAAATTTCTAATAGTTAGTCTCAAAATTCAAGACATTAACTTGTTTCAATCAATGTTTTTTATTGCTGATATCTGGAATAAAGCATTAAACAATTCCCATTATATTTCAACTATCCTACATATTATGTTAGTTAATATAGTTGAAAAGTATAATATAATCGTATAGTGTGTTATGTAGTATCAACTATCAGAATTTCTTACTCCAGACATTTATGCATGGTTAAAAGCTTCCTAAAACCTAGATATCTGAGTTAATATTGATTTTACTTTCTAACTAAACATTTGATTTATAGATCAGGAATTAATCACATGCTTACTTTTATATTTCCTTCATTTTATGTCATACAAAATAATGCAGCATTGCACGAGAGAGATGCTCTTAAATTTTTACTAAAATATAGAAAATCAATACAATTTAGCATTTACAATCTTTGAAAGTGTGAGGTGTTAAGGTAACATCTAAGCTTTGTAAAAAGCGATAATTTATTTTACGAATAATTAATTACCTAACGTTAAGAACTGAGGTTGAGATAGTTTTTGTTAAATATGTTTAAATTGTTAATTAAAGAGTTTTCTATTTAAAAAAATTGGCTTTGTTATGGACTTTTTTATTGATTTTTGTTGGAAAAAAGACACTATGTTACCTGCCTTATTGTGTCAAGGTTGCCACAGACTACTAAAATGCGACTATTTGCTACTATTTTCGGCGACTTTTTTTTTGCCTGAAAAGGCCAAAAAAAACAACTATTTTCAGGAATAGGCAACTAGTGGGAGACTTTTTTACTCTTAGCGAAGTTTTTTTTAAAAAATGAATGTTACTTTTCAGTCCCCTCACTAACATGTACCTATTGCCGCCTACCATGTGCGTAGTGCAATTAAAACAACTAAATCTTTAGTCAATTTATTTTCAAAAAAGAAAATAATAAAGAAAAAATATTTTTACTTTTATTAAGTACAGAGTTTGACCGTTAGTCAATACTACTTTTTATTATTTTAAATAATTAATTAAAAGAGGGTCTAATGATGTTTTAAAAGCATAATTTTTTTCCCAACAAATTATTTAAAAAAATTAAAAACAGTTCTAAAGTGAACATTTCTTTCGTTTGTTTTCTACTTCCGTTTTTTTTCTTTTAATTTTTAATTTATTTATGTAAAATATTTTATTACAGTATTATTATTTTTAAACCAGTAAATCTTAAATCATTTTTAATTTAAGAATAATGAAATAAAACTTGGATTTGCTTTTACTTTGACTTCTTTATTATTTTAATTGAAAATATTAAGCAATGATATTGATGTCATAGTGGAATATGTTTAGAATTAGTATTTTCTTTTGTAATAGATTTATTTCTTTTTATTTATTTTTGATTGATTTAAAGATTTGCCATAGGTAATTTTTGAACATATGCTAAATTGCGATACATCGCTGTATCGCGATGTATCACAATTTAAAATTTCTGACATTAACCAGTCCTAATCATAGTATACGACACATAAGCTATAATTTTAGTTATTTGGCTACTATTTTCGATAAATTTTTGACCCTGTTCAGGCAACTATTTTCCTTCTTGAGGCTACTAAAAGCAACTATTTTTGTTCCTTTTTTGCTGTGGCAACCCTGTTGTGTGGTCAAACAGAATTTAAAAGAAAAAGAAAAAAGCATTACTAGATAAAATTTAAAATTTCATGGAAAAGCATAAGATGAAGCAGGGCTCGAAAAAACTCAGAAATTTTACCCGTCCCCGAGGACGGCTTGTCCAACAATGTACCCGTCCTCCTTTGAAACTAACCCGTCGCTTCTAAACAAATACAAATATAATTTTCGCTTATTTATTACAAACATTTATATAAATTGCACAATGAATTGGTAGTTACTAGGATTACAAATACTAGGATTACATTATACAGTAATAAAAGAAATACTAGGTTACTAATAGTAAAACCAAGTATTTCTATTATGAAATAATTTATTTCTTTGATGAAATAATTTAAATAACAAAGGTTAAGTTATCTGTCAATTATCATGTCAATTTATCCGATGGTACTGCGTTTTTTAAATGAATCAAATATGACGTTTGCCAGTTCCACAATCAAGCCAATGATTTACAGAGGTTTCTGCACAGAAATCTGAAAGAGGTTTTCCATTTAGGTAGATGTTCATAAATGCGTTTAACGCTTCTTGTTTAAGACCAGTAAGTAATGTGTTTTTTTGTAAGTTCATTGCTGAAAAGCCCCTTTCAACCGCTGCAGTACTCCCAGACAGAGAAAACATCAATTCCACCATGCGCAGCATGTTGCTGTATTTCGAGATTAGAGGGTCATTTTAAAAGTGAGGCGCTAGACTCTTGTAAGATAACAAAAATTTAAAATGAATCACGAACATTAACGGGAAAATTGTTGTCCGCGCGAACGCTGGATTTAAGAAATTTGTTGTCTGCGGCGAATTTTTGACCGCCGCGGACGGGCGGTTTTTCGAGCCTTGAGATTAAGGTAATTTAATTAGTTAAAAAAAATTTTTTAGTAGGGCTATAATTATCGCTTTTGCTGAAATAATAATTTATTAGTTTATTTTATAATAGAGTTGGAAACTAGTCTCAGTGTTAGTCCAAGCCTTTTCTGAACTTTTATTCTGAACTTTTAGTTGATGGTTAACTACATAAAAAAATAAAAAAGGATGTGGCGATGAGTTTTCTGTGCAATTTTGTCTAAAGAGTCAAGAACTCATCTTAAAAAACTAAATTTCATTTTTTACTATATTTTGATAAATATTTCTTAATATTCTTATGCAGTTGAATAAATTGAACAAGCAATCTGGCATATATGAACAAGAAACAGTAGAGTTGCAAGCAAAAAAGAAAAAGTTAGAAGAAGAGAAAGAAGTAGATGGGAAGAAAATGGAAGAGGTAAGGCTCTATTTATAATTTTATAGCATCTAATGTTCATATTTTCAGTCCAACTTCAAAAAAGTTAATTTAATTAATCTAATTGCTAACTCTTCTTATTTAGCTGTTTTATTTGCACATCACTAAACAATATAATATTTTCTATTTTCCTAGGCTATGGGCTCTTTAAAGCAGGAAACCAATGTCTTGCAAGAAAAGAAAGACAAGTTAGAGGCTGAACTTGTGCAACTGAAAAATGTATCTGGTCAAATAAAATCAGAGGTTAGTTCGTTGTTTTAGATTCCAGGGTGAAAAAAAGTTAGCCATAGAAAAAACGAGATTATACAATGGGTTAAGTTTGTACAGTGATAATTAGCAATGGTTCATAATAACAAAATTTACATAGCAGAATGTTTTTATATGTTTTATTTGCAATTTAATTTCCGATATTAAAAATATTGGTTACCCTTCCCACCCTATTATGGGTTTTTGGTTAAATTTTTGATATTTATTACTTCTTTTTTTATGATAGAATATCAACAGTGCTTTACCTTTACAGGAAAAAACTGGGAAATAAAGACCTCTCTTTATTAGATTGTGGGAAGTAGCACTTGATAATTTTTAGGAATTCTGGATTTTTTCTTAAATATGTAAACCAAAATTATGTTCATTTATCTGTTCTTAATTTTCTTAAAATTTACTTTTATTATTGTTTAAATTTATAAAAAACAATTTAATAATGCTGAATAAAATTTTTAAATTGTTGAAGATATTTATCAAGAACCTAAAAGTAGGAAAATTTATTAAACTATCTTTAGAAAAATTCTGATTCTAGAACTGTACTAATATAATTTATTCAAATTGTAATTTTGTTTTTATTAATTTGAAAATAACTCAAATACTGTTATCTAAATATATCAAGTTAAATGTTCTATCCCACCCTAGATTAAAATGGCCAACTTTGATGAATGTCTCTGAGGAACTAATTTAATAAACAATCCTCTAACCTTCTTGAATACATTAAAACAGATTTTTTTTTATGAAAATTTAAAAGTTTAGAAATTTTTGTCTTAAAATGGGATCATTACAATAGCACTTTTGAATGTCAATTCACTACTTTCTCAAAACAGCTATATTGACTTCTACTAGGTAACGAAAAAACATTTGGATAGCTTACATACAATTAAGTGTGACCTTATTATGTTTGTAATGGATTTTCAGTCTTTGATCTTGGTAATGGATTTCGTTTCATTCTATTAAAAAAAAAGTGAGTAAAACTAAGAAGATAAATTTATTTTATTATTTAGAATTGAAATAAAGAAAATAAATTGCAATAATTTGGTTATTTGGAATTTTTATCCAGAAAATATTTTTTTTCCATTCTATTAAATTATTTTCTATACTCTTATTAATATTGAAACATCGTGACTTTTCCAAACCAAGTCAAACAAAAAAATTGTACTCATGCAATGCAATATTTAATCACTCAAATTAGTTGGAGAAAATTTTATTTAAAATGCCTGTTACATTTTCGTAACATTTGTCATTATGAACGTTCTGTTATATTTTTAATGCTTGTTTTATTATACTTTCTTTTTTAATTGTTCGTTCTTTTTTTATTCTTTTTTCATTGTTATTGTTGTATTTTAAGTAAATAATTATTAAAATAGGTCAAGTGTCAGTAATAATTCGGGCAAATTCGATTTCTCATTATGTGAATTTTCTTATTCTTAAATGTAAACATTAAAATTAAAACTGTACCACTTTTTAATAATTATTATGTTACACTTGTTAAGAGACAGTAAAAAATCGTTATGTAATCCAATGGAAGCTTAATAATTTGGAACTTTTTTGTTTTTAATAATTATATCTCAAATTTCTTTGGCAATATGCTTATGTTAAATGTCAATAATTTTTTTAGTCAAAATAAAAACTTTATGTAATTTTTTGATTTTTCAATTTAAAAACCTCTATTTAATATACCAGATAACCTCATATTTTACAAATTATATTTTTGAGCACTTTCATTTTCTACAATATATTGCATTGAATATCTTCATGGGTCACAAATTTTAGTTGCGTAACATTTGAGAATCTATTTTTATGATTCATCTTAATTATTGATCCATTGGAAGTTCTTTAATCTTTTCTTTTAAAATAGGAATGAGTCGTAACTTAGATTTGGATTCAATTTCTTCATTTTAATCTAAATTTATTATTATTATTTTTTAGATGGATCTGTCTCAATCAGAGCTAAACATATTGAAAAGTGGGGAGAAAAAAGAAAAAGAGAAGCTTGATTCGATTATAGCCAGTCATGAAAGAACAGTTCAGTCTTTAATGAATGAACAGAAGTGATTATTATTTTTAATGATTCTTAAAAGAAAATAGAAGTCTTAATTTAGCAAAATTTAGGATTTTGGTTTCAAGTATCACTTAATCTGCTTTTTTCCTAAACTTAATATTTTTGTTACTTAGTTAACGACAATCCAAAAGAAAAACCGACTACTTCCTGCTTTTTCAAATACATTTTTTTAAATGTCACTTATATTTTACTGTTTTAAAAGTATTCTCAAACAAAAATCTATAAGCTTTAAGAAAAATTAAAAAAAGAGAACATTTTTAAAATTAGAAAATAACATTTTTCTTTATAATATACTTGTTATTTTTAATGCTTGCTCCATCAAAAAAATATTTTCATCATTTATCAATTCATTATTCAATGTCAGAATGTTGGCTATTAAGCAAAATTCATTAAAAATGACGGCAACATTGCGGGAGTCCATCCCCAATTAAATTATGTTTTATTTCACATATTTTCTTNGAATAAATTCTGATCACATATTTTCTTTTCTTACTTTATCACATTTTGTTGTCCAGACAATTATTGGGGAGTCCATCCCCAATTAAATTATGTTTTATTTCACATATTTTCTTTTCTTACTTTATCACATTTTGTTGTCCAGACAATTATTGTAAAGTATTATAATTTATTATTAAAAACTTTTTCATGATACAAAGTAAATTTGCAGAAAACACTTAACCATTGAAAGCTTTCGAGCAAAATTTGCAAAAACTACTTAGAAAATTATTAAAAACTTTTTAAATTTTCAAGATATTCATATCGGACATTTTTCATAAGTTGCAAAATACAATTAACTACAAATTTATGAGGAAAAAAAATTTATTTATTTTTTCTCGTGTGCAGTACATGGGTGCAAGTCTTTCGTCCCCAGGACGGATTTCCGTCTTTCGAAAATGTCCGCGAATGGAAGTAAGACGGAAACAAGACTGACTCAAAGACGGAAATCGGAATTTTTTTTTATTCTGTCCTTAAAAATATTTTTTAGGTCTACGTTTATTGGTCTACTTTCTTATGTCCTGTTGCTATTTTATCAAAAGACAGATGAATAAATATTTTTTGTACAGTATTTAAACTTGATGTATTATGGTAAAGCTTTCTTAGATAGTTTGCATATGTCAAGGGGGTATTGTGTACGTTAGGTATTTCAGTCAAAAAATTTTCAGTCTTGGCCTTTTTTCCAACTTGCACCCATGGTGCAGTATAAAAGGACTATTTTAAATGCTTATGTCCTGTGCAATTTGTAACTTTTTTTTCTTCAAATTTTAAAATGATAGTTATGTTTTATTAATTAAAAGTTACAAAAAAAAATTTTTTAATTTTATTGAATATTTTTGCAGTTACAGAAAGAAAATGTAACTCAAAAATATTATTTTTTTTTTATAAAAAATGTCCATATCTTCATAAATATTAAAATTAGGCTTAAAAAATTTTGCTCAAGTATTACAAATGATAACCAGAGTAATCGATAATCAATATTGCTATATTGTCTGGCATAAGGTGTTTGATTCAAAAACGCTCTTTTTTGTTCACAATTTAGTGCTGGTTCCTCAAACTTCTGAAAGCTTTTAACCTTATTTATAAATATACAAATTCACATGGCCTAAACACCTCTAAAGTTATAAAAATAATTCTCTAAGTATTTTTAGAGAAATTTAAAATAAAGACAAGAACTGAAAATGTGTCTACCATTATTATAGGGTAGTGTATGTGTGTGTGTGTATGTATATATACAGAGCGGTCACTTTTTTGTATGTCTGCAGAATTTCACATTTTTTTGTCCGTTTTCAATCATAAACTTAACAATTCTAAAGTTGCACAAATTTGATGCATTGAATTAGGGGGCCATACACAAGTTGTTAAAGAATGATAGAGATATCCTACCTATACTACCAGATATGTTGTTTTTGAATTTTAACGACTCTTTAATAATATTATTAAAAAATAATAAATTTTCCTTGGCATGAAATATATAATAGTAAATTATGGGTCACATACTTATTTGCTATTTTTAGGAGATAAAATCAAATCTTGTATGGCGGACATTTCATGTTTCAAAAATTTAAACTGATCTCAACTCAATTTGCTTATAATGATTTTAATCCAATTGACAATTCAATGTAAAAATGATAAACTGAGTGGTCATTCATCAATTGTTTTTAATTTTAAACCTAATTTCAATTTTCAAAAGAATATTAAATTTTAAAATTTGCTCTTTGTAAGAAATTATTTCAATTAAGGATTTAATAAACAGTGACATTTTGAAACCATTAATATAAGAATCTTATAATTTGAAGTGAATTAAAATGTTCTGAAAAAAAAAACTATTTTTCATTAAATCTATAATTTAGTTATGTATTTTTTATTTAATACAATAATTAATTTAAATTGTAATTTTTATTAAGGTTTGATTTTGAATTTTTCAAACTTACTCCTACTAAGTGCCTGTTTCCATGCAAAGTTCAACTTTTTTTTTTCCAAAGCTGCTATGGCATGTCAATATATATATATATATATATATTGAAATTTTATTATGTTTCAACTAATATGCGTTTTGCAGACTTATGAAGGTAGAGAAAGAAAAATTAAGTGGTCCAGGTTTAGATGATCTTCAATGTCAAGTAGAAGAAGCAAAAGCCAAGGAAGCTGCTTTAACTCAACAAGTAACTATTTACCTTGCTTTCAAATTAAGTAGTTAACATCACTGTATGAATTTTGAATGTTTTATACATACTTATATTTTATCTGATCATTTTTATACAATTAACGACTATGCACTAAAAGACTGGAGGCAGTTTTTAGACTTGGTAGTTTTTTATGTAATATTATAATGATACTTTTTTGCACAGTTTTAAGTTATGTTTACTTTTTTAGTAATTAAAAATGTAATATTTTTAGTTAAAAATGGGACGTTATAAATTAGAAGAAGCCAGAACAGCTTTGTCTACATCGAGTAGCCGCTCTACAATTGTTCAAGCTTTCTTGAAGGAAAAAGCAAAAGGACGATTTACTGGTGTTTATGGAAGACTTGTAAGCCATTTTCCATTGAGAACAATTAATAATAATTTTTTCTGCATGTTTCAACTTTTAAATTAACTTTCATTATTTTTATTGTTTTTCTTTTTAACTGTTTTATAGTTAAATAATAAGTATAACTCCACTTGCATAATCTTTATTTAAAATGCTAATCAGTAAATTTTAGATTTTCACCTTTTCCTAAAATATTTAGAAGAATCTGATTTTTTCAGCATTGCTTTAAATACTTAATTTTAAGTGTATTTTTTTTTATTTTCTATCAATCTTACTTTTTAATGCTTCATCCTCTAATTCAAAAGGTATTTTCACTCACCATTTTAGGGAGATTTGGGAGCCATTGATGAAAAGTATGATATAGCCATATCAACAGCATGTGGGTCTTTAGACAATATTGTGACAGATACCATCGCAACTGCTCGAGAATGTGTTGAGCATTTAAGAAAACATAATTTAGGTTACACAACCTTTATAGCCTTAGATAAGGTAAGAGAAAACTTTTTTTTTTTGCCTGAACTTTTTGCTCCCTAAAAAGACTAATAAATTTTTCTTATTAAGTAATCCTTCCACTTTTGTAAAAATAAGTTACTGAAACTGATTTCAAAATTTTTGTGTTTTTATTAGTGATGTAACGAATAGTGGTGTGGCCGAAAACCGAATATTCGGCCAAATTTTAGGCCGAATACTACTACTTTTTAAAAATTTCTCTTTTGATTGTAATTAAAATAATTTTCAAATTTTAAATTAAAAATGAAACAAATATTAACGAAATTGCTTTTTTAATCTTTGTATATTTAAAAAAAATTTAACAACTTGTTTTATTTTTTTTAATAATTTAAATATCTTGATGCCAATAACAAGGCAATATGGCTTTTATAAATCTAAATAATTAATAATAGCATATTTTAGTTATAGTTATACTTGTAATTTATATGCTATTTTATTTAAAATAAGAACTCATTACTACCGTTAAATGTATTCTTAACTTTCTTTTTTGTCAGAAAAATTATTAAAACCCAGGAAATTAAGCTTGTTAAGTAGCTTGTTTCTCTAAGTATCAAGACATCCATTAAATGGATAATTAATGTTTTACATTTATAATAAATAATTATATAATCATATATTTCTAGTGCATATTATTGATAAATAGATATTATTAAGGGAATCACAAATACATTTTAATTGCCGATTCAGATAGTATTCACACTTCTATTTAACAAACTATATATATTTGTATTTAATGTAAAAGATTCCAATGCTTGTTTAAATACATATGATGATAAATTTGCAACAAGAAAACGTTTTTATTTATGTAACATTATTAAATACACTTATGTATTATACAACTAAAATTGAGTAAATGTTAGATTTTCTAATAATTAATGCAGTGAAATGTAACTCTGCGATATTCATGATTAAATATATTTAAAAGCACGTTTAACAAATTATCTTTCTTTATTATTATGAATTTATTCAGCCAAATATCTAATAATATTCATATTCAGCCGAATAACTTCAGTATTCGGCTAGGCCAAATATTCGGCAAAAGGGCCGAATATTCGTTACATCCCTAGTTTTTGATATATAGCTTTTTTTTTAATAGCAATTTCAAATTCTTTTTACTAAAAGCCATTTTTTTTCCAAAATCATTATTAACAATGACATGTTTAGATTGATTGAAATTTTCACTGTTAGTTGTAACCATAGAGTCTATATTATGGAATATTCAATTGAAATGAAACAAGACAAGATTTTATTAGATACCTCAGAAGTGATCATCGACACAAAATGTATTATAGCAATTGCTAATGAATGAATTAAATGATTTGTTATAATGTATTTCTGAAGAAATGGAAAGTTCATAAGATTCATAAAAATAATTATTTAAAGCAGCTTTGTTGTTTCAAAATCTTGTTGTTGTATTGTAGATTTAACTTTTTATAACATTTTTGATAATTCAAAAAACATGAAGATAAACAGCTATATATTTTGTAATTCAGATAAATAAAGTTTGATTAGCTGATATGCGTGAATCAAAAGCATTTTAGCAATTGGACCTTTTCTATGTACTCTATTAGTAATGTACCCTGTACTCTTTTCACTTGCAGATGAAGGAGTATGAAGAACTTGCACATCGTAAAATAGCTACGTAAGTTATTTAATCCCTTTTGTTCATTCATTATTTTACAACTTTCTTCTCTTAACTTCTTTTGAATTTGAAATCTTTTTTTAATTCGTCTTTAATTACATGCATAATTCCTCCTAGAAATTTAATTTAAAACACTTTTTAAACAAATCAAAACCAAAATTATCTACTCTAAACCTGTTCTTCTCATATTTTAAAGCAACACTGGTTTATTAATTTAAATTCTGTAAAAAATTTCCTTTTGTCTTATAGCTATATGCCACTTGCAATCTAATATTCTATTGTATTCTCTTAAAAAAAAATCCAAAGAGCTAAAGCAAGTTGTGTTCAGTTATTTTTAGATTGTGTGGCAGTGATGTGGCATTCTAATGGTATTTTTGTGGTCTATTGAATCATCTTGTTCTGCTTAAAATTCATGATAATATTTTCATCTTTTAACTAGTTGTGTGAAATTTGTGACTGGTGCTTATATAAAATTGCTGAATTAGTTGATTTAGTGTTTTATTAAGATAGAATTAATAAAACACCATGCAAGAAAAGAATAAAAAATCCAAAACAATGACAGGTTTGACAGACGCAGCATTTGAAAATCGAAACTACAAGTATTTTGCATAATTGCATGATATCGATGCTATAATTAATCTGAAACAATGTCAAACTACACATTTTGTTCAAATTGTTAATGTTGATTTAGTGTTTTATTAAGACAGAATTAATAAAAGACCATACAAGCAAAGAATAAAAGGTAAAAGTTTACAGTCTTAAAAATATTTCTGTATTTTTCAGTAACTTAAAGATAAAGTAAGATGAAATCAAGAATTAATAAATAATAATTTTAAAAAAATGTAACTCCAGATAAGTCATTTTCCCTCTGTTTTTCTGCTGTGCATTACTAAAGCAATGGCAAGAAAGGGAGCAAAGACATGTTTTTTATTCTAGGTGAACTGGCTCAATTTCTCTTTAGATAAAAATATTTTCACCTCTCATGCATTATCTTAAGATACTAGTTTAAGGTCAAGCATAAAAAATATGTACTCTGTTCTTATCAATTACATAGTAGTTATCAACAATGTCACCCTTCATAGAATTGAGTTAACATGTCTTATATACTAGTGAATTGGAATTGTATTTTTGTAGTGGAAGACGCTCTACAGTTCTCCACACATTTTTGTTTTAAAATATCCAGTCTTGAGAATATTAGCAACTTACTCCCCTGAAAGTAAATAAATAGGCCATAAAATTTCAGACCCACATATAAAGTGTTTGAGATAATGATACTGATTAATGATTTTACTGGTTTTCCTTTTAGAATTACAGACTAGTCTAGTTTGAAATCTTGCAGTTTCTTTTTAATATGTATTTGTCTTTCAGGCCTGAAGACTCTGTACGTTTATTTGATATGATTAAGGTTAAGGATCCAGAAATACTCAATGCATTTTATTTTGCCATTCGTGACACTTTAGTAGCAAGAGATCTTGAACAAGCAACTAGGATAGGTCTGCAAGGAAGTCGGCGCTTTCGAGTAGTTACTTTAAAAGGAGAACTTATTGAAACATCAGGTATGATGTTACATGATTTTGTGTAAATAGAAATAATTTATGGTTCTTTTTATTTGAGGAAATATTTTGTTTTTAAATACTATTTTGATGAACTTTTATTGGCTATCTTTTCTAGTACAAAATAATGATTAGAGTTGAATAAAAAAATCTATAGTAACCTTTTGCAACTTTTGTTTTATGAAATAAAATCATTAAGATAAATAAGACATTCTGATAAAATACTACATTAGTGTATTGAGTGGCGTCTCATACCATTTGATGCATAACATAGTACTCCCTGTGGCAGAATCACAGGGACATTATCGCAGATTGTTAGAGAGTTCTTGCAGAGAGAATTCTCTTTAAGGAAGTAAAAAATGTTAGTTTTTTTTTCTGCTGAAATTGTATTTGAAAGATGCCTTTTTCGCACATTGGTGGTAAGAGAAATTTTCGTGATTTTTCTATTATTATTTAAGAATAATGAAGTAAAAAAAAGTTTTGGTTTTCTTTTTTGCCGTGGTTTTCAAGAAATTTTTATTCCCCAGAATTATTATATAAGAACGTATATTATATAACAAAACTTATTCTTCATTTTTCAAAAGATTGCTTTGTTGCTTTCCTGCGAACGGAAATGCTCATGACTTTTTGATTTTTATTTAATAATAAAAATATTCGCTGGTGACTTGTATCAGCATGAATTTCGATTGAAAATATAAAGAAAAGAAAAAAACGGAATTGCGAAAGATGAAACGATAGTTCTGTTCTAGAAATCATGTTCTTTTATTCATATATGTATATTTCAACTTCACCATATTTTACATTTTAATAAAATTTGAATGTGAGTGGAGATTTTATTACAAATTCTGATTTCACATGAAAATTTTAAATTATGCGTTTGAGTTTTCACATTTTTGCTTTCACCGATTCCGTCGTAAATCTATGTAGTTATGATTTTTTTCTTTTTTGGCAATTACAAATTTTTGCTTTGTTTCTTCGCAATCTCGATGTCTTTCATTGCTCAGTTTTTTATATTCTTGTGAACCTTTGAAATATACTGATATTATTCCAGCATGTAAAATTTGACACGCTCGTTTAGCGTTGATATTCTCGGAATCCATGTGGTATTTTAGTCGTTCTTTCGACAGTTATTGCTATGAATTTTCACATTTTTTTAAATAACGAATCTGGAGGTTTTTTATACAATTTAATTATACACGAAACTCAAATCAATTCTTTACTTTTAATGTGACAATTTCATCACTTTTTCAAATTTATATTGCCAGTGCTACCAGTTTACACTTGTTTTTAAAATTCTGATTATTTTTCAGTTAATATTATTTCTACACGTAAAATTTAAATTGCGCAATTAAATAAACACTTTTTGACGTGCTCACTTTATGCCGATACTATCGCAAATCTGTGTAGTGTTTTTATTGTATTTTTGGTAGTTATTGATAATGGTTTTAAATATTCCAATGTATTTCTGACAATTTGAAAAATTCTAATCGTGCTTATGAATATTTGATTTTTAAAGCAATGATTTTATCATTTTTTTCTGCTGGAACCATGCAGTTTTTAAAATCTCATATTTTTGCTACAATATTATTTATTACACTATCCGAATCTCAAAACGAAACACATTTAGTACCCCCTTTTTGAAGAGTCCGATTCGCAATTCGGATTTCACAATTTTTAAGTTTCTTTTTTTTCGATGTGATGATTTACAAAATGCAAAAAAGGAAACAATTAGTGTGTTTTCTTCCTACAAAATATGAGAATATTGCCCATGTTATTAGAATTAAAAAAAATATTACATATTCATTTAAAAATATATATATATACAACTTTATTTTATACAAATAGGCTTTTTTTTTATAAACACAACATTTCTGTTGCTTTAAATTAGTAACAGGTATATTTGTTATTGTTAAAAGTATTTTGCAGCAAGATATTAGTACTAGAGAAATTTGTTGTAGAAAGCCCCAAAAAATTCTGCCACAGAGATAGTACGTAAATGCTTGTTAATTATATTGTAAACTATTCAAACTATTTGGCAATTTTATTATTTAATAATGTCAGAACGACACATATCTTCCATATGTAAGGGGAAAATGCTTGTTAGGTGTATAATAGTAGATAATATCTCCGAAAATTATTAAAAATCATAAAAGTATATCCTTATATCTGAAGATAACATTCAAACAAACATAACAAAAGATGTTCTGGTTTTAATAGCTTGTTATGGAAACTTCAAAATGTTTGATGTGACACATATTTCCAATGTCATCTATTAAGAGGCAGTTTTTCATTTACTTGCGAAAACATAAATGATATGTGTATAATTGTGTCGATAAAAAAAATTTTCCTGTCTTAATTTGTGAAAATGTTACCTATTTCTTTGCACCTTGTAAGGTTACAACTAGATCAAAAAAACAAAGGTTAAGCAAAATTGCAACAAAAAAAAAGTTCATTTAATTAAATTCCGGAAAATGTTATTTAGAACCTTCACTAAGCTCATATGCATTGCTTATGTAAAAAAAGTATTTAATTGTTAAACTTTAGTTATGCTTGATGCTCAAATTATAATATTATGCAGGTACAATGAGTGGTGGTGGTGGAAGACCTCAAAAAGGTCGAATGGGTCAGACTGTGGTGCAGTGTACTGTTACAACTGATGATGTAAATGAGATACAGAGAGAAGTGGATAATCTCAATCAGCAGCTCATGCTAGTGAGAAAACAACGACTTAATTTGGAAGAGCTGATATCCCAAAAGACAAGTGTGCTGTCATCATTGAAACACTCTTTGAAAAAGAGAACAATGAATATAAATGTGAGTAGTACTTTTCATGTACATACATGAAACTTAACTGATGCAGAATTTTTTTTTTCTGGCTTCATATATTTTAAAACACCAATTAATGAATATCTTAATGAAAAGAGTTTATAAAACAACTTTGTGTTGCAGTAAAAAGCATTACAATGAAGTTTTTCTGATAGCTTTAAAACTGATCATAACAGAAAAAAAGCACATTCTGAAATTAGTATTAAATATAGCTACTGAAACAACTTATCTAATCCATTATACATGTTAAATTACTGCTCTAATCCATTTTTGCTGCTAGAATCTGCTCCAAAATAAGTTTTTTTTTGCACAATTTCCCCAATTGTACTCTAGTTCATCATAGCTGTTTTTGTCACTGCTTTGAAAAATTTGAAATAATCATTTTCTTGAATAATTTGCCAATTCTTTTCATTTTGTATTTTCAAAAGCAAGTATTTTTCTTAATAGAGCGTGTAATTTGCTTTGAAAATTCACTCTTGCTGCAGTTGCGAGAAATTAATAATTTTAGTTTAGTTTGTATGAATATTAAATTATTTATGCTGCATAAAAATTAAATTTTTATTTCTAATTACAATTCTCAAATTAATTATGAAAAAATTTTAAAATTTTCAAAAGTGGGCAATCACCTTATTAAAAATATTTTAAATAATTGTTTACAGATATATAACTATGTGGAAAGTAATTGTTAAACAAAAATTAATGCTAAATTGCAGAAATGTGTTATTTGTTTGGCTTGAAGAAGATTAATCAGTATTATTGTTATTCACACTGGTTAAAATATATTCTGAAAAAATCCTATGAGTTCTATATTCAGCGTACCTAACCTGTGACCAACTAATTGAAAAAAATTATTTCTTTTATTTGAAAAAAAAAAATTATAAGTGTTGTAACAATAAAATTCTATAATACGGAGGTGCCAATTTAAGTGTCAAGAAATAAATCTGCTTTTGGTACTTTGTTAAAACAGGTCTTTGTTAACTATTTGTTTAAAAATTGTGGATGGAAGTAATTTATATGAAGGAAATTAGAAAAAATTACTAACATTATTTTATCTCTGCAAAAAGTTATTAAAACTCATTGTAATTTTATTTTATTAAAGACAAATTCTTTATTTTGTTATATAAACATAAACAGCATTTTCAAAACTAATTTTGTTTTCATTTATCATTTTTTAAAATTTATTTATTATGTTAATATTTGTGCATCCGTATTCTACAGGTTACATTTGTAGCCATCAATCTAGAATTATCAAAGTTTTGGCCAACTTCCCATTTTAGAGGTTTTGGCTTGAAACAGATTAGAATGAACATTGTATGATAATTTATAATTAGAATTAAAATGTATGGAAACTTTTTTTAATTGTTAAAAGAAAGCTTATTCTATGTTGTATAAAACTTTCAATTTCCCTTTTTTTTTTTTCAATTTATTTGATAAATTTTAAATAAAATGATAACATGAGGGAAAAAAATTTCTTCAAATCTTAACCTAACGACGGAGTTTTAAATTACGGGTAATTAAATTAAATCACCTAAATTTATCCAATTTTGTATAGTCTTATCTCTCCTTTTTTTTATGTGTAAGTTTACTACTCTTAAAAAGTTTTCTAAGTGTATAAATTTCTTTTAGATTACATCACTGAGTTCTTTTTGTTCTGAGCGAGAATGCATTTGTTGGCTACTAACCAATTCATTTGGTTGACATGATCAGTGTCGGTCATAAACATTGTATATACAGGGATGAGATTCTTCCGCGGATTTCCGCTTTTTTTCAGATTTTTCCATTTTTTCCGCTAATTTCCGCTGAAATTTTTTTTTGCCCAAGTTAAAATATTTTATGAGGAATTTAATTTTCCGCGGAGGGAAATTGTTGAAGTCCCTTTTCCTCCCTCTGAAGTTTCTCTAAAAATCATTTCCTTGGGAT